GAATGACACTTAATGACAGTTGTCATAAACATGCATAAAAAAAACTTCATATTCATGACACGTGTCATGTCATGATTATGTAGGTGTCATGTCATGATTATGAAGGTGTCATGTCAGTCTTATGCACACCCCTTCAAGTAAAGTGTAACCCAATCATCTGCTTATCCCCGTGTTCTCCTAATGAGTCTAATTTAATCTAGCCAAGAATTAGATAACATTTTTTGGGTCATCCAAGGTAACCGCTGGAACATTCCAGCCTCAGAGCAATCCAAATCCCCCAACTGTTGTTGAAATACACAAACATTTGCTAAGTTCCTTGCAGAACGTGAGTTGGCTGGTTTTTCACTTTAACTTATTCTCTCCTCTTTTGAAGTGAGTGGTTCCTGAATGGCAACTATTTGATCATCATTGTGTCCATTTTAATCATCTTGCCCCTTGCCCTGATGAGACAACTTGGTAAGCCATTCTGCTCTGTGTTTGTTGTGAATCCATCCTTTTCTCATCCTTTCTATTTGCTTGTCACATTGCCAATGTCCATAATATTGTCCTCTCACAATCTACTTTGCTCATAAACACATTTAAAAGGATCCGTTGCTTTTTATGTAGAATCCTAAAGTAGAATCCAGTGTGATTTATTGATGTTCTAAAGAACATTTTGTGGCAGGTTTTGGACTAATTGGAAAATTTTCAGATTTTAAATCTACAGATCTGTAAATGTGGTAAATGATTTCTGTTGAAAGCACTGATTTGTAACCATAAACGAACTGAAATAACCACAGTGAACTGATGACAGAACCAAGTCAAGTCAAATTGATTTGTATAGCGCTGTATACATGTTTACAGTATCTTAACGTATCTTCATGCCTTATAGTCCCATATTAGCAGAATAGAGCTGGGTGATAATATAGTATAATATGAACATTTTGTGGAATATTGCCTGTTTTTTGTTGCAGGGTACTTGGGTTACACCAGTGGCTTCTCTCTGACATGTATGGTTTTCTTCCTGATCTCAGTAAGTTCACTTAATGCTGTGGTCTGTGTGTGGGCTTTTTGTGAAAGATCAAAAGATTACTCAAAACATTGCTACTTCTCTTATAAACTCTTTTACACTCTTCGATATTTCTGGCTCTCTTTCTCCTTGTCTCATTTTTGGCTTTCGTCATCTCCTGTTTGTCGTTTTAACTTCACGTTTGTGTTCCCTAGGTCATCTATAAGAAGTTCAACATCCCTTGTCCTTTTGATGGTTTCACCAACCACACTGCTGAAAACATATCTATTGATGGTGAATGTGAAGCCAAATACTTCACTATCAACCAGCAGGTCAGGAACTGTCCTTATCATTGCAAGAATCTATTCAGGAAGTCCATTTCTAAGTACCATGTTTAACTCTTTATGACCTCCACACCAGGTCAGACAGAAACAGACAGGAAATGCTTAGTACGTCGATGGAAATAAAGTTACCAAGCAACTACTAATTTCAGTATGATGACACAGGTGTGAGACCGCCTCACTGTGTGAGATCGGGAACGGCCTTGTGTAATTTCAGTTACTCTGGTTGTTTTGCAGACAGCCTACACGGTTCCTATCTTGGCCTTCGCTTTTGTATGCCACCCTGAGGTGCTGCCGATCTACACAGAGCTGCGCAAGTACGTTCAGAAAACACACGCTCACTATGAAAATATTCATGACCACTAATAATAATGGTGGTGTAAAAAACAGTTTGTATTTCTTTTGACAGACACTTATAATATACACTACCATTCAAAACTTTGGTTTTAAAACTTTTAAACTGTATCAAGACATTGGGTGTTTAAAAGGAAGATTCTCTATTATTTTGTTGCAAAAAGAGAGACATGCGTCAAAAATAAATCTCCTTTTATGATTGTTGTTTTGATACTTCTAGTCCCACAAAAAGACGCATGCAGGCCATTGCCAACGTGTCCATCCTGGGGATGTTTGTCATGTATCTGCTCACTGCCATCTTTGGCTACCTCACCTTTTATTGTAAGCACTCTGGATTATAAATTAAACCTTTTGTCTAATGCTGCAAGCGAGGCATCACTGATGCTGTCTGGCTATAGACTAGACTCACATTTGTCTCTGCCATAGTTGTTTCAAAATAAACAAGTTTTGGGACCTGTATCTGTTTACTTGTGTGTGTAATTTAAGCACAGCCTAGAAATAATAGTTAATCTCAATATATATTAATCTCTCAGTAAACACAGAGGCAGAACTTCTACACACCTACAGCAAGGTGGATCCTCTGGACACGCTCATCCTGTGTGTGCGTGTGGCCGTGCTGGTGGCCGTGACTCTGACTGTTCCTGTTGTGCTCTTCCCGGTAATGAGACTCTTTATTGACAGAGTTACATGGTGATGTCCAACTAGCTTTCCTGGTTAATATTTCTGAAAAGACAAAACCATGTTGTAACATACTGTCAAAATGTAAAGGGATACTCCACACAAAAATGATACTCGCACTTATGCGGTCCCAGATGACTGTCTTTCTTCAGATGAACATACATTTTTTCGAGTGCATATACTGCAAGTGTATGCTTCAAAAACCACACAAACCGAACATGATAGCAATCTATATGACCAAAGTTGATAAATCAATGTTTTCTGAAGAGAAATGATAGGAATGTGTGAGACAAATACTAACATTTTCAACTTTTTGGACTATAATCCAGCACTTCCAGCCAACTGTCATATGCTTGGTTCATGAGAGCTTGGTAAAGCACTATGTCAGCACTTTCACACAATGTGCTTAAATCACAATGTGGTCATGCTTACATCAAGCGTGACCTCATGAACCCGTGTAAGACAGTTGGCCGGAAACAATGGTTTACAGTTTAAGAAGTTTCAAATGTTACTTAACTGGTGTTTACTTTTTTTTTTTTTTTTTTTGGGTGGAGTGTCCCTTAAATGTTGAAAGACTCAGTAAACAATGTTTGAATGCAGGGCAGATGTTTAAATTATTTCAATTTCTTTGTCATATTGTGTTTTCAGATTCGTAGAGCCCTCCTTCAGCTTCTATTCCCTGATAAGCCCTTCCACTGGGTGCGTCACATCTCTATTGCATTGTGTCTCCTTTTCGTAGTCAACCTGCTTGTCATTTGTGTGCCCAACATTCGTGACATTTTCGGCATCATTGGTGAGTAAATAATGAAAATTGTAGAAATGCACTTAAAGAAAATACCAGTGCTTGCAATGCAGTGGAAGAACATTACTGTAGTTTTAGTTTAGTTGCAAGAAAATCTAATAAGCATGATAAATGACTAAATGACTGAAAGTGACTTCTGTGTACGCTGTGCTACCTACATCTCTTTGACTACTGACACTATATTGACAGTTAGCAAATGGATCTTTTTTGCCCAAATTTCACTAATGTGACCACACCTTCAGCTTAGAAGTGTCATTCATTTTTTGTTAATTTCATAGGTGCAACCTCTGCTCCGAGCTTGATCTTCATTCTCCCAGGTCTTTTTTACATCCGTATTGTTTCCAGCGAACCAATGAACTCAAGACCAAAAATTCAGGCATGTCTTAAACTTTCTCTACAATTTGAATGAAAATAAGGTTCAAATCAATCAAAAGAGAATGCAATTTTATTATGGTTACCTGTTAGTCAGATGTTGGTAGTCATTAAAAGCTCCTGCTCTTGTGTTTCAGGCTGCCTGCTTCACTGCTCTGGGCTTCATCTTTATGAGCATGAGCATGACGTTCATCACACTGGATTGGGTCTACGGAGAGAATCGAAGTGGAGGAGGTCACTGATCTTCAAACACTATACTGTAAGGGTCCAAAAAGCCTTCTTAGAGGAACATCACTAACCCTCTCCTGAACCTGAGAGAAACCAAAACATCACTTAGGCTGGACCCAACTGACCTCTGTTTTCCCACTGAGTAAGGAAAGGACTGATGTCCTGCCATCTTTAAAATAAAAATGGATAAAAATCCTATGATGTTTCATGGTGGAGGATTTCTGGGGACACAGAAATGTCATGCCAATTTGAGGCTGTTTCTACAAACGGGCCTCGTAACGATAAAGGATGCTTGTGTTGGAGATGGAAGTCTAAATAGCTTTAAAATAATGCTAAAAGATACAGCAGAAACCAAAATAAACAACTGGAGAGGTTTGTTTTGTCTGATGGATACCAGGAAACAATCAAGTTTGTCACATATCATCTGTTCTGTTGTCCTCATCAAATGAAAGCCATAGTCCCAGAGTGCAATACTAGGGAAATTGAAATATATTTTCCTGCTTCAATTTGTTCATTAAAAAATGTTGCTCATGATAAGAAAATTCAACATAATCTCAGAATGGCTGCAGACCTGAACTGAATATGTCAGTGTCTGTTATATCCGAGAATGAAATTAATGAATTTGTGAAATTTACCAGAAAAAAAAAAAGTATTTCAATTGAAAACTGGTCCTGAAATATTGTGTGATATAAACTGCACTACAACTGAACACAGACAATCAGCTTTACACCGTTTCAGGTTTTTTTTTTCTTTCTGTTGGATATTATGTCAAACAAATGTGAGGTACATACAGTTGCAGTATTTTGTGGTGCAGTGGGGTGGAATGCCACCTATTGTGAGGAACAGGTGAATAACTATGGTTAAGGTGCTTAATTACATTGCTGTGATGCATATAATGATGCAAACAAAGCCTAACCTGTGAATACAGTGATTCATGCCATATTCTCAATGATCTGTCAATCTAACAACAGTATAATGTGTCATGAATTGTCCAACCCATCTCTAATTATTTTAATTAAGTTAGGAATTGATGGAAAAGTGATTGTATAGGCTGTTTGTAAAGGAAAAACTATTAAATAGGAAACACAAAATATTTTAGACCCCACTGAAATTTTTACTCATGAAAAAGCACCAACAATTGCCGAAAACTCTTACACAACAAAATCAACAATGACTTTGCATGTCATTAAATGACATCTTTTCCTCCTGGTCCCCTGTAGACTGTGAGACAATGCAACGCTTGAAAGTGATCTCAATGCACACCCCCTCACAGTATCAGACCATTGCTAATACCATTAAAGAATGGCAATCCCCCTCCTCTTCAAGTTCCCACTGTCCTGCAATGCCTATTTATTCTGTTTTAGGGGAAATAAATACATTGTTTCAATGACTCTGTGTTTGTTAGTTAATTAGAAAACAGGCCCAAAATTGTATGAGGTTAAAGATCGACAGTTCCAATGTAAAAACAAATGCACCAAAGAGAGTTGGCAGTTGAACAAGTGCCTTTTTTGACTGCTTTTACATTTGTTTGTTGGTTTACTGAACTGGCCTTTGACTTTGTCATACTTGCCGTTTTCAATAAAAATTGTGTGGTCAGTATTAAAAAGTGCAACATGTATGTATTTATTTTTTGTGTACCCCTTTGAGGACAATGACATTTATAATGTCTATTCATTGAATCCCTTATGACATATGAAAGCACTCTATCTGACTTCTTATTGTTCATTCCTTTACTTATTTTTCCTATTATCTTTTTTCTTTAACATGTAAGAAAATGTTGAATATATGAGTGAAGGAGGATGTACAAGGCACTCCTCCTTTCTTTATGTGAGCGAAGGAACACGTCCTGTCCACGACATTCTGAGAGCAGATCTGCGCAGTGGTTTTGTTCTTCCTGTTCTCTTTTGCTGTGCTGCATTTACATCAGATTACAGAACACGGAAGCAACAGTTCCTTCGAACCATTCGCCTGTTCTAAAAAGGCTTCAGGCAGGTACTGTGGGCTAAGCAAGGGCCCCAGGCGTGGAGTCCCAAAATCTGAGTGTCCATTACATCAAGGAGAGATGAGCAGAGGAAAAGCCAAGGGGCACGAGATCGTGCACAGTTCTCTCCTTAGCAGCCAGGAGAATGAACGCCTGCTAGAGCTGCTGGGAAGGAGATGCGTGGTGAGTGAAGTCACTTTGATTAGAAAGCCAATCACGGATGGACATTCTGTCCCACAGAGGATGTTTTGGGGATATAAATCAATCAGATATAAAACAGAAACTCCTGAAAGGACAGACATGGTGCGGAAGTCACAGATGAGATTGGAGCTGTTACTGTTGATGTCAGTTAAAGGTCAAAGGGAGACTCAGCTTTTCAAGCTGTTTCGTTGTCTGTGTGCGGAATGAAAAAGATGAAGAGAATGCATACAAAACAACCTGTTACAGAACATGCTGTAAAAGCCAAAGTTTTGCAATTAGCTCCACCTAGGAAAACTTACATTATAAAAAAGTATATATATATTATATATATATATACATTTCACAACACTGTTAACCTGTCTGCTGCAGTGACAAATGATGTATGTAACGGCAAAGTTTAACTGGAGAGTGAGAGGAAATGCTATTTGAGGCCACTTCCTGTTGTTGTAGAGGATGCTGATGTCTTTGCTTTAGCTTTTGTTGTAATACTTCACTCATTAATCTTTTATTAATGCACTTTTATGTCAGTTTATTGTGTTTGTGTGTGTGTGTGCAGACCATGGCCACAGCGGTTGTTCAGTTGTACATGGCTCTTCCTCACAGTCCGACCCAATGGAGTCTCCAACATACAGGAGTTGTGTGTTTCGTTAAGGACAATCCTAAACGTTCATACTACATCCGGCTCTATGACATAAAGGTTAGAAATGCAGATTCTAATCTGTAGTGCAAAAAATTATCATAACTGATCTTTAATTCATCAGAATTGTTATGCAGAATGTTTATGCATCTAGCATCTTTGCAGATAAAGATGTTCTCTGAGATTATATATTAGCCCAGGATGATAAATGGATTTATACTGACTCCTGTTAGCATGACCAAGCTTGACCTGTGGCTAAGCAGGCTGAAATGAAATAAAGATACACTTTCTGCTTTGAGTTATGATTCACAGCAACTCAACTCAGCTCATGAAGTCATACGGTGGTAGAAATAATATTCGTGCATGTTCATTTTATTTATTTATTTATTTTCAGGAAGGCAAAATGGTTTGGGAGCAAGAGCTGTATAATCAGATGACATATTGCTGTCCAATGAGATTCTTCCACACTTTTGCAGCTGATGTGGGTACAGGCCCTTTAAAAATCTCAATGCAAGCCAAAACTCAACGCTGTGTAAAACGCAAGTTTTCACTGGAAACTCAAAATCTCACAATCTGAGAGATCTAATATATTTGAATGCACTTGTGTCTCAGGACTGTCAAGTAGGTTTGAACTTTGCCAGTGAGACAGAAGCTGAATTTTTCAGAAACATGACTGTGGAAAAGATTAATCAGAGATCCAATCATCAGGGTCAGTTACTGTCATTCTCATTCATATTTTATATAAATTTTTGCTAGGCTCATTACCCATAAATCCTCATATTTCATCAGTATCTCTTTGTGCCTTTTTTATATATATATATGCATATTTAGAAAAAAAACAGCATGCTCCGTCTGAAGGTATGTGTGCACAAGGTTAAACATACACTTAGTATTAACTGTTAGATTAGCATTTTAAGGCTGGTTTTATTTTTATTAACAGAAAACCGGGCACTACCACAAACCCCTCCAACAAATGGTGAGTCACTTTTAAACACTTCATGCACTTCATGTCAATTCTGTCATCATTACTCACCCTCACCTCCAAACCTTTATGACTTTCTTTCTTCTGTGGAAAGCAAAAGAAGATATTTTGAAAAATGTCCCAGTGTTTTTTTCTTATGTAATGAAATTCAATGGTGTCCAAAGTTGTTTTAGACAATGTTTGTTCTCCAAAACTCCGTATTTTGTGTTCAGCAGAAGAAAAAAGTTCATTTTTGGGTGAAATGTCCTTAACTTTAACGTATCTTGCAGAGATCACATGGTCTAACTCATTGATAAATGCAAGTGTTTACCCTATATATGTCCAATAACCAGGTCCAGTTTCACAACCAAATGTAATGGCCACGGTGGACATCCAGAACCCAGATATTGTGGCATCAAGGTACCGCTCCACCCCAGTGCTGACCCCCGCACCAGCCTCACTCTCCATAGGCAAAAAGGACAAAAAGGGAAAGAAGAAAGGCCCAAAGCTCACTAAGGCAGATATCGGAGCTCCTAGTGGATTCAAGTAAGAGAATTTTCCCATAAGTTGGACACTCACCTTGTGTTTTGTTTAATTTGTTTGACGTGATGCTGCCTCTCATTCCTCTTCAGACATGTCACTCATGTTGGGTGGGATCCAAACTCTGGTTTTGATGTAAGAAATGTCCTTTTTCCTTACAAACTGCATAAAAGCATATTTCGTCACATAAACTGATACTCAATGCTTATTCTAATTGAAATGATAAAGGTAAAAAGTAACAAACCTGTATATATGAACACTGACTTTGGCCCCTCTAGACCAACAATCTTGACCCTGACCTGAAGAAACTGTTCAACAGTGCTGGTATCAGTGATGCCCAGCTTGCAGACAAAGAAACATCTAAGATCATCTATGACTTCATCGAGCAATCTGGAGGCCTGGACGCAGTAAAAGAGGAAATGAGGAAACAGGGTGAGCTCATTCAAAAATCAAAATGTAATAAATTCTGTGTGGAATATTTGGACGTTTGATTTGGATCATTTCACCTTGATAAGATCCTTAATGTCAGCATGACATGAAAATTCAGATCTATTTTCTAAATGCATCTTTTTTATCTTATTGTAAGCGATTAATCTATGCATACTTTATTTAATTATTTTTAATTTTGAGCTCATCATTTTTTTCAAAATGTCATGACTTGATCTTCCGATGAAAAAGACAGACTTCTCTGCTGACATATGCCGGACTTCTCCAATCATTTTGTCTGCATAAACCCCGCCCCTTTCTCACAATCGACCACAAACTCACATTCAGATCTGTCTCCATCCAATCAACAACCAATCAATAGAACCAAGTCCAGGTTCTTTTTTTTTTTTCAGTTTCATTTGACTTTAATTATGCTTGTTGCCCAGATGGTCCTCGTTCTGCCCCTGCACCTCCTCCACCTCGCGGCGGGTGTCCCCCAGTCCCAGGTCCACCTGGACGTCCTGCACCACCTTCACGCAGCCCTGTACCCCCGCATCGCGGTCCACCGCCACCTGCACCACCTGGAGGGCGTTCTGGGCCTCCACCCCCTATGCTATCTTCTCTCCCGCCACCACCACCCCCCAGCCACAGTCACAAGCCACCTCCTCCACCTATAGGTGGCGGTGCACCTCCTCCACCTCCGCCCCCACCTCCTCCCCCACCGCCGCCGCCTTCTTCAGCCAGTAACATCCCCAGTAGTCTTGGCAGCTCAGCACCACCTCCTCCTCCCTCTGGTGGTGGAGGACGAGGAACCTTAATGGAGGAAATTCGCCGTGGACGTGTGCTAAAGAATGTACGTGAGATGCAGATGCAATGCATTTTGTTCAGCCGTTTCTATAAGTATTAAGGGCTGTTCATAGTAACGATAACGTGATAATAATCATTATAATTCATTGAGAATAGGGAAGTCAGCATCACAGCTATAATGATAGCGATACAGAGGAACAATACCAGTGCAATCACTTTCAGAACTAGCCTATTTTTTTACGTTATCGTGCATAGGCCTAGTTATATTTATCTTTATCGTTATCATTTTACATATCTGTATATATATCTAATGGTTAGAGAGTTGGACTTGTAACCCGAAGGTTGCGGGTTCAAGTCTCAGGTCTGGCAGGAATTGTAGGTGGTGAGGGGTGGATGTACAGCGCTCTCTTCCACCCTAAATACCACGACTGAGGTGAGACCCTTGAGCAAGGCACCAAACCTCCAACTGCTCCCCGGGCACCGTTTCATTGGGTTTGTGTTCACTAATGTGTGTATGCACTTGGATGGGTTAAATGCAGAGCACAAATTCCAACTATGGGCCACACATCACTTCACTAAAAAAATATATATATATATATCTTGGTGTAAATGGGTATTTTACTGTGCTTTGTTGGGTATAACCATTGTTTCGTGGTTTTTATATCAGGTGTGTGTGTTCACAGTGTGTGTGTGTTCACTACTGTGTGTATGCACTTGGATGGGTTAAATGCAGAGCACAAATTCCAATTATGGGCCACACATCACTTCACTAAAAAAAATATATATATATATATCTTGGTGTAAATGGGTATTTTACAGTGCTTTGTTGGGTATAACCATTGTTTCGTGGTTTTTATGTCAGGTGTCTGAATCCCCGGACCCTAATCCTCCAGCTCAAGATGAATCCTCAGGGGGAATTGTGGGAGCTCTGATGATGGTGATGCAGAAAAGGAGTAAAGTTATCCATTCCTCAGGTAACTCATTTAATAAATCTATTATTTTCACAACCACGGGTCATTCAAAACATGGGTTAACAAGAGCCTAAGTTATCTTTTTCCATATTTCACATTTGTAAATCGCGTCTTAATGTTCTTATTTGCATATTTTCGGTGTTTAATTGACTGGAGGAACACAGCATGCACTCGAGCTGTTTCAAATAGCGGCTGGTCTCCTTGTTGGGCATCAGTTTGACTTACATTTTTCCTGACAGTCTATTCCAGTTTGTCCTGGACCATCCATGTAAAAATATACGTTTTTTTCTTCACTTATATTAACGGGTTTTATGTTACTTTTTGACACGTTACTTTCTCTCAAACGCTAAAACGAAGTGCCGCGCAGCGCAGGCGTTAACATTTCTGCTATTGCGCAAAGCTAATGAATATTTAATGAAACGAGCGCTGTTTTGTTTTATGATTGGTTGGTTGTTCTACGCACAAAAAAAGAAACTCTCAAGACAAAACACAATAAACAGAAAAGAGTCCATTAAAATGTATTTTCAAGTTGCTGCTTGCATATAAAGGCACGCTATCGAAAAGGCGGTTGTCTTTTAACTTTATAAAAGCAGACTTTTATTTATTTGACGTGCACGGTTTAGTAGCTATCTGCATAATCGTTGTATAATTAGATGCAAACAAACACAAACTTTTTTCTCTGTCTTTCTTCAGGAGATGAAGAAGATGATGGGGGTGATGAAGATGAAGAAGATGAATGGGATGAATAATGCTTCTCTCTGCTCTTGGTTCACAAACTTGTGCCATCCACCAATTCATAAAAATGAGCTCATAAAGCTGATGCTCATTGGAAATCATTTTAGCAATAGGCATGAAATCGTCAGGTTATTCCAGATTAAAGTTGCACTGAATGATCTGAAGATCTTCTGTAAATCCAATAAAGCAATAAAACCCTAACGTTGACAATGAGTAGATTTCAAGTGTGTTTTGCAGTGTCTCAGCCTTGTTTCAAAGACTGGTCTGTTTTCATCTCCAGCTTTCACTTCAGTAGCTCAGCAGTAGTTCAGTGTAAGTTCATGTAGGAAGAAGGAACTTTAGTTGAGCCAAACCAGGAGTGGTGTTAGATTTCATCCAAACATAGGACTGCCAAGTTTAACCACAGCTTTATGTTGGATATTTCCTTCTATGTGCACATACTTTTGACTCAACAACTGTCTTATTCAAAATCTGTCTCTTTTAACTACAAACCCAGTGATGTTATTCTTGTCGAGATAATACATCTATTTTTCTGAAGCCGTGTACAATGTTCTGTATATCTGTTGGCTGCACAGGACCTCCCCCTACAGGACAAATGTAGAACTAACAAAAAAGTTTACAAAGAGTATTAAAATAATCTAATTAATAAGTATTTATGATACTTTTTGATATAGATAGATGTCAGTTGTTCAGTGAGTTAGAACAATAAATAAATAAATACACAGATAAAAACAAAAACAGCAGTTTATTGTTATTGCTTTAAAAAACACCTATTAGGACTCCCAAATCCCAGAATACCATGATAATAAAATAATATTTATCACAAACAAACAATCACATTAACATGAACCTACACAAACATTGGTAAATACAAAGAGGAAGTATTTAGGAAGCAACCATATTTAGGAAGTTTCTGTTTTGCTCAACAACCAACACCAAAGGAAAGACACAACAGGACAAAGAAAGTCTATGTGGCATTAAAGTTCTTCAGAGAAGTTGTGTCGGATGTCATTCTGCACAATAACATCTCTGTGGAGAGGAAATAAATGTGGTTTGGACTCTAGAATATGTTCTCCACCCTTCAAGACCAGATAACATGTCTTGGGTTAAAACCACAGAGCGTTTCTTTGAGCGCTTTTTAAACACAGTCATAAATATTCCTCCAACATCCAATGAAGAGAAACAGTCTCTTATCCTTTCAAAAAATGACATTTGTGGGCTAGTCAACGTATATGTTCTCAGAAGAAAATTACACAACACATTCCCCTTGCTTTTGTCCTTTAGTTTGGTGTCAAGTGATATTCCATAGAAAGTGCTTGAAGAGGTAGACATTTCTGGCTTAAAACACTGCAAATATGAAATATTTCATGCCAACTGATAAAAATAATTTATTTTTGCCCATATTGTTTTCTTGAGAATCCCAAGGCTAATTTAAATGTTTCAAATGTTAAAATATATGTGTCTACAGGTTAATTGATTATAGTTTCTTCAAAGACATCTACCTCTTTCTCCTCAGCATCTCTCTATGTGTCCTGGTCCTGTTAATAAACAATACATACAATGACATTTTCCATCAAAACCAGCCCTGTCCCACCACCAAAGACCACAACACAATGAATATGTACACTCTCACAATAAATATGTTGTATGGTGTGGGTGAGAGAGAGAGCGAAAAAGAGAAAGACAGAAGGTCACGTGAAAGATGAGGAAAGAGAGGAGGTTAGTTTTTAATCCTGACCAGTGACTAGTCAAATACATAAATTTTCTATGTACATGTGTCATTGTCACACAACACAAAAGCACAGATACTGTGTTCATACACGAGCAAAAAACATGACCACATATCACCATTGACAAACCGTGGAATACAAAATGTTTCAATTCGATGGATTGAGAGAGAGAATGTTTTTAGTGGTCTGACTATCATCAGAGTACAGAGTCAAAGACAGAAGAGACCAGACTGAAAAACTGTATCTATATACAGTAGTTCAAATCAGGGAAGATAGTAGTTGGGGACAAGCATTTGTTTTACAAGACGACAAAAGACAATAACTGACTTGTGAAGTGCATATCAGGGCTTTTCACATTAATATCTATCTACGTCTGGTTGCATTGATCACACAGGAGAAATTCCGATGCATAATCCCTATAAACAACTTTTATATTTGTCATTTTGGTCCACAGTCTTGTCCTAATAAAACATTTAAATTTCCAGGGCAATGATCCAATCGTGTTGCAAAGAACTGCTTGTTCCATTACAAAAAAAAAAAAAAAGAGAGAAAATATATAATATTTTTAGTATTAGATAAATATTTTGTTTTACAATCCACATATTTGAAATGTAAAACTTTTTTTAAATGTATTTTTAATCTAATGTCCAATATTGCTATTGCAATTATTTTAAATTCTCAATCTATCTGTAGTTTTTTTTTCTGAAACGATAAACATGAATAATACTGAAATATCACTTTTGATAGAAACTTGTTTTACAGTTCAAAGATTTCAAATTTCTGTTATGGATCAAGATTGTATGTGTGTGTTAAGTGTTGTATATGTGAAGCACTACGAAAGTCTGAATTAACTGCCCCAAGGGAAATCTGAATTAACCGCCCCAAGGGGATTAAAAAAAAAAAAAAAAAAAAAAAAAAAAAGACTCAAATTAAAGCTCAAATATATGGAGGACTAGAAGTGACACTTAAAAGTAAAAATGATAGAAATAAATGATTGATTTATAATTTCTAAAACGATTTATTTCCATTTTAATGTTTAAATTATTATATTAATTTTAATTTTAAACGAATATTTTAATATTATATTCATTTTCATTTTATTTGTCACTTCTAGTTGTCCATACAAATTGACCTGTTCTTGCAAGGACTTTACTACAGAAAACGCTATAAAAAAATTGCAAATGCCAAGAAAAGTAAAAGCTTTAGTGGTCAAAATGATGGCAAGATATATTGTGCTATAATTGTAGTAATCTTCAAATGCTCCAAAACATTCCTTCCACAACTGTATTTTATGGTGTGGGGGTTTAGAGACGACTGACTGAATCAGCAATCTTTCGATTTCACCCCAAACACCTTTTGAAGCCTCTACAACGTACATGTTTCCAAACGTTTCTGACAGTATTTACACTGCAGTCATTGGTGTACTGAATATTAGAATGGAATAGCTTATGTTTAACATAAAACAGCAGTAGTTTTGCTGGTGTGGCTGGACGTTTTAAGGAATTCATTTCGAAAACTGTGTGGTTTCATGCTAGCTATGGAAGTGAGCACATCACAGCCAGATTTAGATTAGTTAGGGGAGCTAAGTGCATCAAACGAAAATCAATCTAGTTCAGACACAGTCTGATACATCTAATGAATCATTTTATTAAATGGACTGAGTTTGCCTAGAAGAAGGACATAATGATGGGGCACATGGACGGGACATGGTCAACCATTGCTGTTCCATTCACTGCTCACATGTAGCTCCTCCCCTTCCTGTTCTCCCGTGTGCCTGCGGTTGTTGCGTTTGGCTTTGTGTGGCTTGCTTTGTATCTGCTGCCTGTAGGACTGGCAGTACTGGTTGATGAGACGCACTTCAGGCTGTGGGTGGAGCTGGAGAGCAGGTGGGTTGGTCTGAAGGGGAGGGGGCGGCGGTGGAGGGTGGTGATGGGAATGGTGGTGGTGGTGCTCTGGTTCGATCGGGACGTCCGACTCGGTCAGCGCGTCCACGATCTCCCGGTCCAGGATCCGTAGGGAGATGCGTGCCACGGTGTGTTTGAAGTTGTTCTCAGTTGCCAGGCAGTGGTAAAGGCCGGCATCCAATTGGGTGAGAGATTTCAGCAGGATGCCATGACCGGTCTTCAAGACATCTTTGTCTCGACTGAGCTGAAAAGGAAAAGGAGTCATTTAAGCCTTCTAAATGAATGATACAAAACACAAAAGATGAATTTCGAAGCATGTTTCAACTGCTTTTGTCCATACAATGAAAGTCAATAGGAGTTCTAAACAGCACTTTCATTATAATGACAAAAAACCCCGGAGAGATTTTTCAAACTTCCACTGAAGAAAGAAAGTCATACAAGTTCAACAATGACATGAGAGTGCACTGTAATAAATTTCTAATTTTAATGGCAAAAGACTTTCAAAATTGTAATATTAATCCACTTAATGGCTTAACAGCAAGTTTCCTAATATACACTATACAACAATAAATCTAATGGGACGTTTCATGTCAAATGTCAACACAAATCAAGATATTTTTGATGAAATCGGAGAGCTTTCTGACCCTGCATAGACAGCAATGCAACTTACACGTTCAAGGCCCAGAAAGGTAGTGAGAACATCATTAAAATAGTCCATGTGACATCAGTGGTTCAACCGTAATTTTTGTAAAGCTACAAGAATACTTTTTTTGTGCAAAGAAAACAAAAATAACAACAATTTCTTCTCTTCCGTGTCTGTCTTCAACCCACGTTCACAAGAGTACCACCATACATGCGTGTGGTGTTGTTGAATAAAGTCATTATTTTTGTTTTCTTTGCACACAAAAAGTATTCTTGTAGGTTCATAAAATTAAGGTTGAACCACTGATGTCACATGGGCTATTTTAACAATGTTCTTAATACGTTTCTGGGATGGGTTTGGAATGACATGAGAGTGAGTAATTAATGACAGAATTTTCATTTTTGGGTGAACTATCCCTTTGAAGTATAAAAGTTTTTGAAAGTGAAAAAGAACAAATCATCTTATAATTCATAGTGAAAAAGCATACAGGTGCATCTCAATAAATTAGAATGTCGTGGAAAAGCAATAAAATATGTTACTGCCTTTTGGGAAGGGAAGAAAATAAAAACATAATTTTTTACTTTTTAATTGTTCAATTTTGAGTTAAAATGCAATTTTACAATGTATAACAAGGCTCCAGGCAACTTATGCAAATTATTTGCATAAGTAAAAAATATAGTAATATTTCAAATATATAAAATAATATAATATAAATATATTAAAATACCTAATAAAAGGCTAAGAAAAAGGACAACAATTTACAAAATATAATATATAAAAATAAAATCTAATTCAAAATTAACTATAATATATATCAAATGATACTCAAATAATGATTTTACTATAACTATATTTACCCTTTTAGAAGAAATCTTCAGAGTTTTGACAGCAGCTGGAGTCTGAACAAAATAGAGGGAGAAATTTCAAAACATTCAAAATCATGCATTATGGTATTTTAGGGTAATTCCTACCCAATAGCAAAAACTCAGCAGAAATCTGTACCCTTAAAAACGCATTATGGTATTTTAGGGTAATTCCTACCCAATAGCAAAAACTCAGCAGAAATCTGTACTTTTGTACCTTAAAAACCTCAACCTCTTCCAAAATGAGCTCTTCTGTTGTGCTGATGTCTTTTGGTAAGACAATCACCTTCTGGACTGTGCCACGATCTAAAGTTCAAGGTGAATCATGAGTAAACCAGATACCAGATCAGATTGGCCATGTTTTATAAGCTGTACAAATTAGGTGGTTCATGGTGCAATGCTGCACCTTCTCATGCAACTTCAGGTAGAAATCATCCTGCATGTAACTAATTAGAAAGAATCTGATATGATCAGAAATGTCTAACCTGTGCCCAGGAAGAGCACCTCGTATCTTCCATCCACAGCATCCACCAGATCCACAGCAATAGTGGTGAAACGGTAGTCAACTCCAGTCCTGACCACCAGTGGGCGCTTGTGTATTGGATATATAGGTTGATACATCAGCGGATGGGCGCGTACAAAGTTTACAGCCTCGTCAGAGAAGGCTTTAGTGGTGTGGAGATCAGGGGTGAAGGTTCCTCCAGGACACTAAGCAGTAAAAATATGCAGAAAGAGCTAAATAGAATGAGATATCAACAAATAATTAATAAGGTACCAAACTGGATTTCATAAGCAATACTCACAGTCCCTGGGCGAGGGTAAGGAATTTTGCCAGTATAAGGTGTCCACTGGTAGTTGTGGCCATGTTTGTGAGAGAAGGGTCCATTGAAGACATTTCTGATGTCTGCCATTGAGTACACACACACGGCAGAGCCTTTAAACACAGAGCTAGAGAGAAAAACAGAGAAACCGCAATGGCATCATAACTAATTTAACAAAAGACAATCAATATAAACACTGATCTGAATGGAATAGAGATGTTACACTCAACCCAGGGATTTCAAAGCTAAATAATCAGTTAGATATATTAAAACTAATTTTTTCACTGTTTATTTTGAACATGCTCATTTTATTGATTTTGCTTATTTTAGTAATAATATTTATTGTCAACGGCTCTTTTCCATAAAACAAAACAAACATGTGACCGTCAAGCTCTGAAGAGACAGAAAAGTAGCAGAGAAGTAATTTTATTTGCCTTTTGAACTAAGTTTTCCATATGATATCCAAGGGTAATATTCCATATTATATTAATTTCTATACATTAAATGGGAAAATTTAAAGTTAATTTTTTGAGGGGAAAAAGCTAAATATATTCTTTTATGAAATTAAGTCAAAAGTGTTTGGAATGGTTGAAGGCCAGTATGTAATGAAAGAATTCTTATTTTGGGTTTGGGAAGATTTTTTTAATTGTGTTATGGAAAAAGTGTCTCATGCCTACCAAGGCTATATTTATTTGATTGAAAATACAGTAAATCATTAACATTTTTTTAGCAGACATTACTCCAGTCTTCAGAAATCATTTTAATATGCTTATTTGGTGCTCAGGAAATATTATTAGTATTATTATTAATGTTGAAAACGGTTGTGCTGCTTAATATTTTTGTGGAAACCATGTTTCTTTTTTCCAGGATTCTTGGATGAATAGAAAGTTCAAAAGAACAGCATTTGTTTGAAATATACTTTTTTTGTAACATTATAAATCCCTTTACTTTTCACTTTTGTTCAATTTAATGTGTCCTTGCTGAATAAAGTATTAATATCTTTCTGACTACAAAATGTTTAGATTTTAGATCTGTGTATGAGAGGTTTTCTCACCCAGCTGTGGAGAACACAGCATACACAATGGGGTTCCGTTCATCATGGGTCCTTTGGATGAAAACATCTCCTTCAAAACAAACAGACATCAGGCATCAGAGACAGATTAAGAACATGTTATGATCATGTTGAAGAGAAAAACATATGCCATACTCGGTTCATCAAAGTAAGTCTCAACACCATCTGCACCAATCACAGAACAGACCAGTCGTGCTTTGAGGAACGTTGTCCACTTATTCACCAATGACCTCTGACCTCCATCATCATTCTAAAAGGGAAAGCACACAAACAGAAAAAAAAAAATATTAGACTTTAAACAAACCATGGGTTCATCTGATTTGCATAATGATTTGCATGACAAAAATCATCATGCTTAAAAGTTGATTATTAAGTCAAGTCTTGTGTCTAGCATCTGGATTTTCTCACCAGACAGACTCGGCCTACTCTCGCGAGGACGCTCGGAGCGCTGCCCCCCGAAGCATCTAAACTCTTCTCCCGAAAGAAGAAGTAAAGCTTATCATCATTCTTCTCTGCACTGTCTGGAATCTTCTGGATTTTTATAAACACAGGCTCTGATGGAGAGATAAAGGGATTTGTAAAGAGATAAAAAGGATAATATTTGTCACAGGTCTGTCTTTTCATTTTAATCACTTCACTCCTCTGCTTATATCATACCATTCAACCATCGGGAATCATACTGCTCGGTTCTGACAGCGGGACGGTCTCCCAAGGTTCTGAAGATGGCTGGATCTGTACCCATAAAGTCCACATGTACTCCAGCATACAGGTTCCCATCTGAAGAGGGTAGAATGAGTGTAATGTGGAGAGAAAGAGATCATGATGGATGAAGACTGGCTAAATTTATACTACTGGCCCATTTATACTGCTTGAAGACTCTCATACAACAAAGTGCTTAACAGAATAGTTCCCACACTTTTGACCAAGGAATTTCCAGGACTCCAGTCGATCAAGGTCACTGGTTAAGTAAAATAACTTCATAAATATGTCTGAAGGAAATTTCCATTTCTAAATCAGGTACTAAAACCTTTGATTTTATAGATTTAAACAACTGCACAAGTTTTACTCTACAAAGATTATTTCTTTGAAAGAAATTGATACTTTTATTCAGCAAGGATGCATAAAATTGACACACAAAAAAGACATATTGTTACAAAAAATAAATGCTGTCCTGTTGAACTTTCTATTAATCAAAGAATCCTGAAAAAATATCATAGTTTCCACAAAAACATTAAGCAGCACAAATGTTTTCAGCATTGATAATAATAAAATACTGTTTCTCAGGCAGCAAATTAGATATTAGAATGATTTCTGAAGGATCATATGACACCGAAGACTGAAATAATGGCTTCAAAATCGCATTTGTGCTTTTTGGAGCTTGACTACATGCTTTTACTATGAGAGAAACAAGAGAGCAGGAGAAAGAGAGAGTCTCACTTATCAAAGCTGCTGCGTTCTCCTGGCGGGGATCGTAAGGAGACTTTCCTTTTCCAGAGTCCACATAACCAGTAACCAGCCGGAACAGGTATTCCTGCACAATCACACACACAACTTATTAGTACAAAAGTGTCTGTACTGCAGAGCTAATCGTCACAGTTTTTATATGTGTAAAAAAGATGAAATTTTAACCAAATTATACAAAATCTTTTAAAAAATGCATCAAACAAAATATCTAAAAAGTGTTTTTGTATTGACCATCTTTGTTACTGCTGAACATTACGGCTGTACTGTAAATATTATGTGTGTACCTCAGCTCTCCAGCCTCTGTTGATGAAGGTGCAGATGGGTTTATAAGCTCCTGTGCCGCAGTTGTACAGGTGAGTCCTGTTCCACGGCTCAATCAGACGCACAAAGTTAGCACACTCTCCCTGAGAACACACACAAATGAGGAAAAACAATGCATTTTAGCAGTGAATCTTTTTCTTTGTCAAAATGATTCAATACTAAATAAAAACAGACTGTAAAAGTGTACCTGTCCACCTTTGCCAGTTAATTTACACTCCCCTTTTCTTTGTGCTGTTGCTGGCCAGTGAATCTGAAAACACACAAACCTTAAAATACTATGCTATTTAAAATACTATACCATAATCATTAAAAAAGGTACCACTGAACTACCATACAATTGGAATACTTAAATTAACTCAATCATTATAAGAAAATAATTAAAATAACTGTATAGCGTCTTACAATAAGGGGTTCTTTATTGACATTTTGCATGTCTAGAGAGACCAGATATTCACGGCTGCCCAGGTAGAGCCGGCCTTGGTCTTGGTCCATATGCAGGATTCTGTAGTCGCTGGTGTTGAAGGAGAAACTGAACGGCCGTATGGTTTTTGTCTCCAGTAACTCTGAACGAAAGATAGAAAATATCAGGTCAAACTAGTTAACATCAACTAAATCTTTTCTAAAAGTACCAGCGGTAGTTCATGTATGGATGCATTAATTCTTGTGAAATTATCTTTTCACATTTCGGGGTTTCGCAGAAGTGGAAGTCGTCATAGTTGGGTAAACTTCTATAGTGGTGAACAGGAGACCACATCAAATATATTTTTTACATTTCCATTAGCTCAAACAGCAAAAGAAGAATTTTCATGATTTTCAAAAAGAAGAAAATATAGACAGAGATTGATAATGGCAGTCAGAAGAGAGAAGAAAGTAAAATGTTTAAATAAAAAAAAATATTAAAAACTTTGCAGGATTTACGATTCTGATGGCCATTGAAACACATCCTCAAAGTTTGTGAAAAGGGTCTATCTATCTTCTCAGACCTTTCAGTTCAACCCTTCTTGTTGTCAGAGCCTGGGACAAAATGTTTTCTTTTCAATTTAATTAAATATTACTTAATAAATTATTATTATTATATATTAATTAAATAAAAAATATAGACTATATATGTATAATAATGAATATATATTAAATAATTTAAGTCAGTGCAGACCTCTTTGTCATAGTTTACATTAATTAATTAAGAAATAAGTTATAAAATGCAAATATATATATTTAAAAAATTTTTTTTTATGATATTTTAAATATTTTATTTTTTTCAACTCAGGCTTCTTTATCTGTCATATTTTTCACACAGCAGGTGCTGGTGGTTTCTATCTCTCTCTTTTTCTTTCTCTCTGAGGGAGGACACAAGGGAGAACAGAGCAGGTGCAGAGATGAGAGACGGCTCCAGCTGTCTGAGCACGCCGTGCTCCAGTGTACTAAGGGTCTGTTCTCCGTCTCTATCACATTCAGCCACTAATTTCCCCAAAGACACATCACCAATTAAAGCCGTGCTTTACACCAAATATTTAGTGTTTCCATCCATGTTCAGATAGCTTTAAATGACAAAAACTTAATCACATACATCACACAACAATAGTGCGAAGGCCGGGCCAGGGAATGAGGAGAAGCTAGTTGACTTTAAACATAAATCTGAGGTTACGAGGACGTGCTGACATCGTTGCCCTCTGAGAGTACCAAAGTGCGTGTGTGATTTTAGCGGAGCGGAACGGCGCAACTGACACAGACCGAATCTATAAATTACGCCATGTTAGCGTCATACCACAAACCGCTTTGATCTCAGAGGTATTACTGTGCTCTCATCCAAATGCCTGTCCAGCGTTACACATTGGATAAACAGAAATAGAACGGGGCCAGTCACAGGAAGTTCAGGGCAAAGTACGTGGAATAGGTTTTAGATAATGTATTAAATAAAGACATGATTAACCTCTTGTTTAAAAGGAAACAATGGTCTGAACGAAAGAACATTTAGTCATTCAGACAGATGTATATGAGATCACATGTGAACGGGTGAGATGCCACATATGTGTGTGTCTGCACATGTGTGTTAGGTGTGCTCCTCAGGGCTCTAAGTAGGTGGCGAAGTGTACTAGTGTGTGTGTGTGTGTGTGTGTGTGGTTCTGGCAGCTGTGTGGGTGATCCTCCAGTCATGTACAGAATCTCCCTGGCCCGATCCACAGGGGCAGGCTGGGATTCCAGACCACTCGCTGCGCACTGGGGCCACAGATCTATTCTCAGCGAGCTCTCTCATCCCCATCCAACAGGCTTCATCCACAAAATCCACTATCTTTTGGCAAGCAAGGGCAGCTTGCTTTATTCAGTAAGGAGGCACCTGACAGCCTGTAGACGTCAGGTCAGACCTTGACCTTTACCACTGTACAAACAATCTGAAGCACTCGCATCTGAAAGAAGTGATGTGAAGTGATGTGATTTGAGAGGTCGTTAGCGCAAACAAGTGCAGTCAAGGAACTGACACAAAGTCATCAATGTTTGAGTTTGCTTAGAAAAAAGCTTAGAATTGATAAAGTTATAACAAATGTTAATATACAACAATAATAAATAAATAACAACAATAAATAACTATAAAATAAATGTATTATGATGTTTTTGATATTTTAAAATAATAATAATAATAAAGTATTTGATATTTGTTGTTTTAGAATAAATTAATATTTAATTGTTTATTAATTTATTATATTTTGTATTAACTGTATATTATATTTTTATACTGTATTAATTTATATTTTCTAATAAATATCAAAAACATTATTATTATTATTATTAATGAGTCTGACGGTTTTTTTTGTCCGTTTTATAATAAAATAGTAAATTAACTTATGAATTATATTATATTGCATTTAATATTACATTACATTTGATATTATATTATATTATATTATATTATATTATATTATAAAAACAACAGTAATAAATAAATAAATATCTAAATGGTAAAATCTCCCCATGATACATTAGATGTGTATCTCTGAACGCCTATCATTTATTAGGTGATGCATATCTTTTTATGTGTTTTTGAGGAGCTCTGCTTCTAGTATTGTTTTCCAGCTGGCTGGACCAGTTGAGACTTTTGCCAGTGTTTGCCACGAGTCAAAATCAAATTTAATAAAATCACAATGGCATCATTTAAGGAGGACAAAAGCAGTCAGATTTTCCACTCACAATGTCCCAATTGCTAACATTTAATGTTTGCCAAACCTAAGTGATGGTGCCAAGTTCTGCCAACAACAGACAGATCAGGTTTAAAGCAAGAAGGGGAGAAAAAAAACTGTTACAGCCTAGTGTTTATAACATGTTTAATGGAAAAGTATGGCATTTTGTATATTTTTCCAATTAATTCTATGAATTTATAGTCTTTTGCACATGGACATACGTCAGAACCATTAAAACATCGCAGCTGAAGAGAAACGGCATGGTCTCATTGAGTCAGAGAAACAGTTATGAAGAAGCTTAATTCAAAGTGGTCAAAAAGTAAAATATCTACTGAAAGGTACAACAAACTACACAGATGGCAGTACTGTGAGCTAAACTTGTCTTTATGCTCAATTGTGGCTGGAAATACTGAATGACACACACACACACACACACACACACACACACACACACACACGCACAGTGTTCACAAATCTGATTATCTCAATACATGTTTGAGAGGTTGTGTTTAATTTAGTGGGTCATTATGACTCATTAGGGTCCCGGAGAAGTAGAGAAGAAGAGCACTTGAGTCCAGAGTTTCTCAAGACAGTTTCACAGAGAGACTGTGTTTGTACCAATCTCTTACCTAATACACAAAGACAAGCTAATAACGGTGGAACATGCTGAACATTTGGATTTGGGGAAAACTTCCTATTTCTTAACAGCTCCTCTGTTGCCTGTAAAAAAAACATTATGCAATGCTGTGGGGAGGAATAAGACGCCAGACCCCTCAATTAATGTGCAGTGGAAAACTGGATTTTATCCCTTAAGAGGCACACATCTGAAAAAGTCACTTAAATTTTATATATATTTTAATTATCTGAAAACTTCTCTAAATTATAACAAAACTCAGATTATAATTTCCAAAGACAAAGAAGCATCATGATTTGACTGAGACACATCTAATAGAGTAATCAGAGCCCAATTGCTGGAGGCAGGTGGACAGCAGTTGCTGCCTCTGTGAACAAGGACATCTCATTAAAAAATAAGTCTAGAAGAGACTGGCATATTAGAAGCTGCGTCAGCAGTTCAGTTCAGTCTGCTCAGACTGACTGTAGACACAGACTATATAAAAAGCACAGCGAACTATCCACGTCTGTATATTTCTTTTGGACGTCTCTAGTTTGAGCCTAGTCTAAACTCCCGCTGTGAGTCGGCCTTGACAGCTTCTTTGCCGCTGCTCTACCTCACAGACTTTATAACCCTCTGGCCAAAGACTTTTTTAGGAAATCAAAATATTTAGGTCATGACCTAAATGCACAAGGTTTCCATAAGGAAATATGTTTTTATTGCATTTCTAGTTATTTAGGAAGCTCAATATGACTTATGGAGCACTTGTAGCAATCTCGTTAAAATAATGTTCCAGGTTCAATACAATTTAAAGAGACAGTTCACTCAAAAATGCTAATTCTGTCATCATTTACTCACCCTCATGTCATTCCAAACCTGTATGACTATTTTGAAAAATATCTCTGTGCTGTTTTTTGTCCATACAGTGAAAGTCAATGAGTTCAATGTTGTAACATGCCATCTAAAATATCTTCTTTTGTGAAAAAAAAAGTCATAGGCCTGCAGGTTTGGAACGAGATGAGGGTGAGTAAATGATGACAGAATTTACATTTTTGAGTGAACTGTCTATTTAACTTGTACTGAACTATTCGTTTAAGTTCTATGCTCTAGTGTGCAGTGATGGATTCAGAATTATTTAAAGGAATTTTCACCAAAAACTGAAAATTTTGTCATCACCCACCCTCATGTTATTCCAAACCAGTATGAATTTCTTACTTCTGTTAAACACAAAAGAAGATATTTTGAAGAACATTGGTTCAACAGAAGAAAGACTCACACAGGTTTGGAACAACTTGAGAGTGAGTAAATGATGACAGAATTTTCATTTCTGGGTGAACTGTCCCTTTAACTGACTGTAGTTTCTGGATCAAGC